TGTATGTATGTATGTATGTATGTATGTATGTATGTATGTATGTATGTATGTATGTATGTATGTATGTATGTATGTATTTATGTATTTATTTATTTATTTATTTAATCGAGACAGTGCACATTAATGAACAATCTTATACTTCTGTACAGATTGTAAATGAGCCAGATTCTAGCATAGTTGCTAGTTTGCATCTGATCACAAAATACAATATCAGTCCAAACACACAGACACACGTTCAGACAATAAAATTAGTGAGTGCATGACTGGGAACTTTTAAGAAACTGTTTAAGGTTCTTTTTAAATGTGCAATAAGGTCTAACGTAGGTAGAAAGTGGAGGTGGGGCTAATCTATTCAGAATTTTGCTAATTAAACAACTATTTTTAAAATGAATACAATTTTCAAAATTGAGCATATTATATTTTTCCAAAATATCACACTGATGGAAAGACAGGGGCTTTTGATCAAAGATTTTTCAAGATTTTTTTAATAATATTTCTATTGGTTTTAAAGTTGTGTGAGTAGGTTGTGATGCAGTCGTCTGTGTGAAAATATCATGGAGTGTAGGAACATTTTAGCAGAACTGATTGTCATCGATGATCTGATTTGCTTAAAGTTACGTGTATAAAATTTAATTGTGTTTGCAGTGATTTTGATGTGTTTTTTAAATGAAACATCAGCAAATGAAACACACGCCCACCTCAGGAGACTGTGAGAAAAATGCTCATATCAGCTATGATCTCTCACCATCCTTTTAGTTAAATGTGTTAAAACAAAATTCACAAACCAGGTGGAATTGTTGACATTTTCCTCTGTTGCAGGAATATAATGTGTGCAAATGTCCGTGGACATTTTTCCGGTAATCCATCCCGAGAATTAGCTCTCATGGTTAAAGCTACTCACCATCAATGGGTATTAGCCATTAGCCTTAATTAGCATTAGCCTTAATTTAACAAAGTTTCACACAACTTACTTTCACCGATTGATGAGTTGACTCACAATTACGGCTTTAAAGCTGTTTAACTTAAGGTGAAAGTCCTAATTGACAGCGTTATATTTAACTCTGGATCTGGAGGCAGGTTGGAGCTGGATTTCAGCTTGTTAGCATCAGGCTTTTTGGAGTTGGCACATTAACAATGGAAACAATTGACAAACAATTTAGCTGCTGGCAGCCTGACGCTGAGTTGAGGGATGGTGTGCTGTATACCTTATATATATATATATATATATGTATACCTTATATTTACCCCTGAAATCAGAGGCTTTCACAGTTTCACAGTTATTATTTGCTGTTACTATTCTCTTCTATTATTGGAGGATCAGCCACACTGGGAAAAGTCATTTAAGAATAACAGAGTAAATGACACTGTGGTTTTAATGCACATTAGTGGACGCCCACATCAAAAACCGGCATCCTTACAGTCCTCTATAACAGTGTTTTTCAACGTTTTTTGAGCCAAAGTGCAGTTTTTCATTGAAAAAATCTCGAGGCACACCACCAACCAAAAATGTCAAACAAATCTGTATCCGCCTATATTAACACTATAATTATTCTTATTTTATTCTTATCTTATCTTAAGTGTCTTGAATAGGAATCAAATAATCACAAAAATGTATTTTTTATCATATTCTATATTTCTTCTTTCAAATTGCACTTAACATGTCCACTTCAATATACAAAATTAAATACAAATTCTAGTCATAAGGAATTATTACATGATTACTCTACCAGTCACTAGAACAGCACACACACTCAAAAATGGCATATTATTTGCAGATAATTAATTCCTTATCAAAAATTTTTTTTAGACCAATTAGGTGAAATAGGATGATTTTCTACGGCACACTAGTGTACCGAGGCACAGGGGTTTAAAAACACTGGTCTATAATAAACAAATGTTCTGAGAAATACTAAACCTTAACTTTACAAGTCATTGTCAAATTATATTGATTTAATGGCACATGGATATCTCTGATATTCATTTGCTATGATGTAAAAGGCTGCCGCCTGTGGGATGTTAGGGAACTCTGCAGATCCCGATCCAAGAAA